ATTCTGCACCATACAGCGTTTCTTCGCCAGAGGTGGTTTATTTAGTATAAATAAAAATATTCTGGTATATTTACAATATATACAATATTAAATTAAATTCAATTTCTTCAAATTCGGTTTCTCTTAAAATATTCAGCTACTCTCTGTTTTACAGTACTTGTACTTGCATTGAAATCAATTAAATAAGTATCACAAATCGGAATCAAAGTAATATTACATTCATTTGGAAAATTTGGTGGCTTGATAGGAACGAAGTATTTATAAAATCCGTTGTATGTACTCAGCATATAATTTATAGTTTCAAACTTGGCATAATTATCACGATGCATCGGCAATAGTAGAAAATCTGAGTCTCTCGTCCAATGTCGCGGTGTTTTAAAATTAATTTTGCTCAAAATGTATTTCGATGACGTATGACCACCAATCACATTATGGACGAGTGATATTTGGGCTATTTTTCTTCGTTCTTCCAGCGTAATCATTTGTAATTCAAGCAGTCGGCATTCGTACGGTGGTTTCCTGAATCTTTGTGGCCATTTCATTTTGCGTAGAGCGAACAATAAAAATTGCTTCTGGATCGATTCAATTCGTGCAATCTTTTCAGCGGTGTATGGATTCCAAACTTGGGAAGCATATTCCACAATCGGCAATACAAATGTGGAAAACAATTTCTTTATGGTCCATGGATCATCAAATTCATATCCAAACCGTTTAACCCATGCTAAACGTGATTTCGCTTTGGCTGTAATGTACTCAATATGTGCGTTAAAATTCAATTTATGGTCAAGTATTACTCCTAGATCCTTTATCACGTGGACCCGATCAATTTTTTCGTTGCCAATGGAATATTCGAAGTTAAATTTTAAGATCGCGCGATGAAAAGACGCAAATTTGGTCTTGGATACATTCAACTTCAGCTGATTTCTTTTGAAGTATTCTACAAGCCTATTTAGGTCAGCTTGTAATTCCAGACAATCATCATAATGTTCGATGTGTTTCCACAGGCGAGTGTCATCAGCGAATGACTGAAGAATTGAGTTGCTGACGTGTTTTGGCAAATCAATGATGAATATTAGAAACAATGTAGCACCAATCGGGTATCCTTGTCCTGTTCCCGATGTAACATCAATGGGGCTCGACATGTCATTATTCAGTTTGACAATCTGTTGGCGACCATGCAAATACGATTCAATCCACTTGAGCAACTGTTGATTCAATCCCATAATATTCAATTTACGGATCAGTAAATCGACATTGACCGAATCGAAGGCCTTCGCAATATCCAAATAAATTGCATCAGTCTGTACTTTGTTTTCCATGCCCAAAATTGCACACGATACAAATTCAGCCAAATTTGTGGTTGTAGATTTTCCTTTCAAAAATCCGTGTTGACTCTCATCAATGATATGTTTCATGTGATAATTAAGGTGTTTAGCAACTATTGAATCAAGCAACTTTGGTATTACACACTGCAGGGCTACGCCACGATAGTTCTCAACTTTTTTCCTTACACCACTTTTGTGAACTGGTCTTACAAATGATTTTCTCCAAATCTGAGGGACAATACCAGTTTCCAACGATTGCTTTAGCATGTGTGTGATAGGTTTTAGTAGTGCTGGCATACACTTTTTGATGAGAATATTTGGTATTCCGTCAGGTCCTGACACCATGTTGCTTGGGAGATCATTTATCACGTTCATAACCAAATCCTCAGTGATGTCAATCATAGGAAAATTAGTACATAGATCTCTTAGTAGTGGTTCATCTTCAGAATAATCTCCAGCTAAGCTAATATCTGGTTCAGTATACGATTTTGCAAAATGTGTTGCAAAAAATTCAGCTATCTCACCACGGTTACCGCTCTCATTGTCTCCAAACATCATTACATTAGGAATGTCATCATGCCTTTTTTTGGAATTATTTACAAATTCGAAAAATCTCTGTCGGTCCTCGTTAATAAGTTGTTCCATTTCAAGTTTGTAATTTTTATAAGCCAAACGTGCGCTCTTTTTGTACTCTTTTCTTAGTTCGGAATGTTCTTCCTTTGCATGCTTTCTAGCTTCAACAGTACGCCTGGATCTCATGAATTTGTACTTTGTATTGAGTCTATTTTTCATGTTAACGAGGTCATGACTAAACCATTTCGGGTGACTCGAAATTTTTCTCGTCTTCACGTCGACATTCGATGATATCACTGAATCCAACAATTCATAAAAATTTGTGATTTCAGAGTTCAAGTCATCGCCCGAAAAAACGTGCATCCAGTCGACGTTATCAAGAATCTCATTTATATTATTGTAGTTGGCATTTGCAAAATCACGATAACTAAAATCAATAGTTGACTTGCCATTGTTAAATTCAACATCGCTAATGGTAATTGCATATGATCGATGATGTGACTCCTTTTTTAGTAGGTGATGGGTGTTTTCTGAGCAGCTCACGGTCTCTGTACAATTTGTCCACACCAAGTCTAACATCGCACCGTTTTTATTTCCAACTTTGTTTACTTGAACAAGTCCCATTTCATGCATGGAGTCCAAGACAGTGATTTCCTTTTCCAAGGATGCGTTCAGTGGGATGGCAACGTCACAATCTTCATTTTCATCTGTATACCATTCCAAGTTGGATAAATTAAAATCACCAGAAATTACCAAAATATCCTCGGACTTCAATTTTGCTGCTACCTCACGAATTGCATTCATATTCGCCTCATAAACTGCGACAGGAGAATCAGGACGTATGTACAATTCAATTAGAAAAACATTCCTGTCTTTCAATGGCAGGATAACGCAAACTTGTTCAGCGCCATACTGCTCACCTGTGCTGACGAGTTCAGATTTCATTGTCCTATCAACAGCAATCAGTACACCTCCACCCCTTGTTTTAATTTTCCTTTGTTTTGATTCAGTTTCAATCGATCGGTCACAGCGATACACATTAAAATTTGGAGGAAATACTTCTGAAGAATCAATTGTGCTGTCAAGGCGAGTCTCGCAAAGCATAAATATTGCAGAATCCGAAGCGATTATGTCAGCGTTAAATTCAGCAAGTCTGGATCTCACTCCATTGATGTTTTGCGTGTGTATATTTTTCTTCAGTTTATGTAAATGTGTGCGGTGAAATGAATTATTGTTCAAAAATGATGAGGCATGCCGTTCAAATGTGGTACTCCGTAAATTGGGTGTCGATATTGGTCGGAATGATAATTCTGCTGCGGATCGGTCCAATATTGCGGTAAAAAAGACGAAGACTGGTGATGTGGCCTGGCAATTTGACTGTTTTGTGCAAAATTGCCATATTGGATATTATCAGGAACACCGTATTGGTATCTACTATCGACTCGGTAGTTCAAATTCATGTTTTGGTCACTATTCTGAAAAAATTGATTGTTATTATAACCATTCGAGTAGCCAAAATTGTCATTACGTCTGATGTTATTGCGCCGTTCAACAAATCGGCTGTATCCACGACGTGATCGTTGGAAATTTTCATTCCAATTCCTGCGATTTGGTTGTGATCGATAATTGTTGATGGTTTTGCTTCTCCATGGCATTGAATTTGGCCTTTGACTGTGACCATTTTGGTTTGGACGTTGACGCCGATGTTTATTCTGACCAAAACGTTGACAATTTTGTCTGGCTTTCTCTTTCAGAAATGTTCTGACCGTATAATCAGGTGCCCATATTTCATTATTCAGGATTTGATTATATATCGATTGGTTCAGAGTAGAGATTTTGAACGCCAAATGCTGTCTCGGTTGTTTCTTCCGTTTTCCTTGGGGCAAAATATGAACTTGAAAACATTCATTATTTGTAAGACCAGTTTTTTCCAAAACCAATTCAACGATATCATCGGGTGTGGTACTCAATGGAAATTTTGATAAGTGGATCGAGTAAACAATTGCATCGGGTGAATGTGAAACCGTTTCACCGGTTTGGATTGATTCGACAATTGTTTCAATTTCACTTTGGATAGATATCGTTATCTTTTCACCAAGTTTCTTCATTGCATCTGCCAACATTTTCCGATCAGCATTAATTTGAGTGTCAGTGTCACCATTCTGTTTATTTTCTTCAATTTGTGTCGTTTGTTTTGCTTCCAATTGTTCAATGGCACTTTTGAGGTTATCCAATTGACCATTGAGGCTATTCAATTCAGCGGATAGGCGTGATATTTCATCTGTTTTGTTTCTGATCTCCGTTTTCAAGGTGCCATTCTGATTTTTCATCTCAACAAAATAATTCCTGCACGTTGCGCATGTAACTGTTATCGCTGATGATATGGAGAAGTATATTTTCAATCGTTGTATAATGTGCTTAGAATTTTCGGCTACCGGTTGTCCGCGATCATCGTACAGGTTGAATTTAGTGAATAGTCTCTTTGTGGCTTCACATTTACTGAGGCATTGAATGTAACACTTCTCATGGCAAGAAAAACATTGCAGATATTCACCATCAAAATCCGATCCCGTGCATTTACTGGCATCACAGTTATGTATTTCGGCAGACATGATTTCAACTCAGAAGGAAAAAAAAAAAGCATCAACAAAACAAAGCGGTGAATGTATAGTTGTATGTTTGTGTTTTTTTCACGATTGATTGTGACTTTCTTTTCAAAAAAATTCACTGAACTTCAATGTTTTCTTAGAAATTTTCATCCAATTTTTCTATTTCAATCAAGAAATTTCAGAAAACTTATCGAGAAAAACACAAAAAATATTTGAATTTAATTTAATAATGCGGAGCAATGAAAATGTACTTGTTATGACTTTGACAGCTAACGTCATATCCATCAAATTATACTATATTTATATTATATTATCCATCACGTTATAAGGTATCATATTTTCTTCATCCTCTTCTTCAATTTTATTTAACGTGGGACCAATCGGATTTGTTCTTCCAATGTTTTTTGAAACTGCTCCAGTACTTGGATTTACAACTCTAGTGTTCAAATTATTTGAGCTTTCGTTATCAATAAATGTCAAATCTTCATTATTTTTGCGTTTTTTATTATTAGATGCAATCATGGTAGGATCATCTTGATGAATACTAGAAATTTCATGATAACCTTGACTTGCTCGTATAGCATCAAAGAATTTTTCCCTTTCTCTTTTATCCATCTCAAATCTTTTCTTTCTTTCGTCTTCTGTTTCATTCGGCATTGGAAATTGAAAATTGTCTGATTTTGGTTTTTCGGCCATAATAGTAGATGAAAGCGGATTTGGAACTGACTGAGTACTTATGACATTAGTGGCTGTATTGGATGTTGAAATAACATCCGTTACTACAATTGTTTCAGAATTGGATATGTTCATTGTATTTGGAGTTTGATCTTTTTTTACTGGAGAGTGTCCACCAAAATTCATTTTATTTTGTAGTGAGATTGTAATTTCTTGCTCTGTTTTTCTTTTATCATTCAGTTTAATGAGATGTATTTCAGAGTCAATTTCAGTAAGTCGTTTTTGAATTCTATCGATCTCAGTTATTTGTAAACTAGTGTCGGTGGTCTTTGCAATAGTTTCGCTAACTAATTTATCATTCAATTCTTTCTTCTCTGCTAATAAGTCACTGAGATGTTTTTCTCCTTTCTGAACTGTTTTCCGTTCTCTCTGTTCTCCTATCGCTTCTTCTATTGACTTTAATTTTTCTTCTAAACCTGAGATCTCCAATTGTAAACCCCTCCTAGGAGTATTTTCTCCCTGATTTTGCAATGATTCTTTCAAACGATCTATTTTCTTTTCTAACTTTTGTTTTTCTGAATTAAGTTCGTATATCGTTTTCGCCCTATCTCTCTTTTTCGACATTAGATCGAGACAAAACTAACTAAACTTTTCTTCATAAGCACATTCAAAACTATCAACCCTAGAGCACAGAAAACGAATAATCAAATGATTCGCTTCTCTATTTGCACAAGAAATGATTGAAATTTTACTCACTTTGAAATATTAGTCTGCGTTAGTATAATGAGAAAAAAAAAGGTTGTTAATATGATGACGTCTGGTCCCAACTCGTAGTTATGATGATAAAACTAGGTGAAATTGAAGATCACTGCCGATGTGTTGTCCTCTCGATTTATTCTTCTATTAATGTATACAGTCCCGATATCAGCAAATACAGTCCAAAGAATGACAGTATAATCATCAAAGAAAAACAAAACTCAAAATCTAAAATAATATTGGTTCTGTATCTCGTCCAAAGCAGCATCGATTATCAAAAATGTTCGACAATGTAATATTGTATTAAAGTCAATTTTGTTCACTTCACAATTTTAATCAAAAAAGCGTTGAAAAATTATTGAAAATTATGGATATTCTCTTTGAAACTCGTTCAAAACTGCAGAAAAATCGTCAAAATTCTCGTTGAAAATTCGTTGAATATTGTTGAAAAATCGTTGAAATTTTTCCCGGAAAACTATTGTAACTGTTATTTTATATTCGTCAAAAATTGTCAAAAAATATTTATTAATTCTGTAATATGTCTTTGATGAATCAGTTGAATTTGTAAAAAATCGTCGAAATATGTTATATTGTCCAAAGTCCATTCCTTTTTTCGGAGAATTTTAGTCACAAATCACCATGGATTTTTATTTTTATTCACGAAATGTTCAAGTTTAAAAACCAAATTCAATTGTTTCAATTTTCTCAGAAAAACTTCAAAAATACACTTGAATTTAATTTTCGATTGAAAATTTTCAAAGTTCTTTTTTGTAGGAAAATCAATTTTATTTTTCACTCGAATAATTCTAAGTGTTTATAAACTTCACTTTTTCTCGATCAAATTTTTCTAAGTCCGAATTGGAAACAAAATTTTTATCGAAAATTCTCTAAGTCCAAACTTCTATTTTTTAACTCACTGAATTTTTCTAAGTCCAAATGAAAACCATATTTTTTCGATCAAAAATATTCCAAGTCCGAAAAAGTGGATTTATTTTTTTTTTCCAAAAAACTGTGCGAAAGTCCGAAAAAACATTTATTTTCACGAAAATTATTCCAAGTCCAAAGAATAATATTTTTTTTTCTGATGGAAAATCGTCTAAGTTCTCAAAATATTATTTATTTTCGTTGAAAATATTCTAAGTTCTCAAATTGAAATTTTTTCCTCGATGAAAATTTTCTAAGTCCTCAGAAAAATAATTATTTTTGTCGAAAAATATTCTAAGTTCTTTTTTCCGAATATTTTCCCGATCAAATTTTTCTAAGTCCACGAAAAACACAATTGTTCACTCAATTTTTTGTCTAAGTTCTCGAAAATCACACTTTTTTAATCAAAATTTTTCTAAGTTCTCAGAAAAATCTATTTATTTTTTAATTCGCAGCGCCAAAATGTAGGGGTGTGGACTTTGGAAACTAATTTGGTTATTAATAAAACACTCAGGATTTCACTTTTACAATTTTCTTCGTTTATTCCATGGTAGATTTAAAATAAACTCTCGTTAGTCCTAAGGTTCCATTCTCTTTATATACTATTTCTAGCGCCCCACTCTCAATCATTAAAATTATGCATTCTTCGGTCTCAACGAATTCATGGTCATGGTTGATTTCACTCTCGATCGATCTCTCGCTGGTGCAACATGCATGATTTTGTACTGTAGACGCAGCTCTCGGCCGCTAACGCAGTGAAACGTCAGATCGTTCAAACATTACGTTCCCCTCTCTTGTGCACGCATTCCGTTCGCCCCGTTACGCATGAGCGCACTCTATGTTTGGTTCTCAACGAAACCACACGCGTTTGATATTTAGACCGCTGTTCGTCGATACAATCGAGAATTAAACTGAGTAATCGAATTCTCGTCGCGCTTGGAAGCGTTCGATGCTTGTTCGTTAACTGTGCACTAGAATACAATTCCAATGTCACGCATGCGCAGATCTCTGATGTTTTAGAATACATTCAGGCTATATGAAATATTACAAAGAGAATAGTGCTAGACTAACTCACGGCTACAACTATAAGATTTTCGTAGCTCGTTAGCTATTGATGTTTGATATAGCTTTCTATGTTGAACGGTGAATGTAAAGCCGAACCGTTCACAAGCAAACGACTGAAGTATTGAGTTTCATATGTGTTTAGGTAAATCAATGATGAACAACAGAAACAATGTAGCACCAATCGGGTAACCCTGACCAGTTCCCGATGTAACTTCAATAGGGCTCGACATGTCATTATTCAATTTGACAATCTGTTGGCGACCATACAAATACGATTTGATCCACTTGAGTAATTGTTGATTCAGTCCCATAATATCTAATTTGCGTATTAGTAAATCAATGTTGACCGAGTCAAAGGCCTTCGCAATATCCAAGTAAATTGCATCGGTTTGTATTTGGTTTTTCATTCCTAAAATTGCACACGATGTAAATTCAGCCAAATTTGTAGTTGTAGATTTTCCCTTCACAAATCCATGTTGACTGTTATCAATAATATTCTTCATGTGATAATTAAGGTGTTTAGCAACGATGGAATCAAGCAACTTCGGTATTACACACTGCAGGGCTACACCACGATAGTTTTCAACTTTAGCTTTAACACCGCTTTTGTGCACCGGTCTAACGAATGAACTTTTCCAAATTTCAGGCACAAATCCAGTGTCTAATGATTTCTTCAGCATGTGTGTTATTGGCTTCAACAATGCTGTAGTACATTCTTTGACAAAAATATTTGGTATTCCATCAGGTCCAGATACCATGTTGTTTGGAAGGTTATTTATCGAATCCATAACCAACTCCTCAGTAATGTTGATAGTTGGAAAAATAGCATACAGATCCTTTAGCAATGGTTCATCTTCAGAATAATTCTCATTTTTGGTATAATCCGGTTCAGTGTACGCTTTGGCAAAATGTGTTGCGAAAAATTGTGCTATCTCACCTCGGTTACTACTTTTCTTATCTCCAAGAACCATTTCATTCGGAAGATCATCATTCGTCTTTTTGGAACCATTCACGAATTCGAAAAACATCTGTGGATCTTCGTTGATAAGATTTTCCATTTCAATTTTGTAGTTTCTATATGCCAAACGTGCGCTCTTTTTGTATTCTCTTCTCAATGTGGAGTGTTCTTTTTTGGCGTAGTTTTTTTCTTCAATGGTATGTCTGGATGCTATGTATTTGTACTGATTATTGACTCTATTCTTCAAATTGATAAGGTCATTATTAAACCATTTTGGGTGACTTGAAAGCTTCTTCGTTTTCATCACAACATTCGATGAAATTACTGAATCAATCAGTTCGTAGAACTTTGTGATATGCGAGTCCAAATCATCACCGGAAAACATTTCCATCCAATCGACGTCATTCAGCGACTCATTTATGGTATCGTAATCGGCATTCGTAAAATCTCGGTAACTATAATTCGAAGTTGGTTTAAATTGGTTACAATCAAAATTACCAATATTTATCTCATACGATATGTGATGTGACTCCTGGTTCAGTAGGTGATAATCATTTTTGGAACAATTGACGAAATCGGTGCTGTTAGTCCAAACTAATTCAAGCATAGCTCCATTCAAGTTGCCATTTTTGTTGATTTGCACAAGGCCCAGATCATGACAGGTGTCCAAAACGACCATTTCTTTTTCAGATGAAGCACTTATTGGAATGGCTATGTCAGCATCTTCAGCATCATCAGTATACCAATCCAATCGTGACAAATTAAAATCCCCAGATACTATTAAAATATCTTCGTTCTTCATCATTGCAGCTATTTCCTTCAACGACTCCATATTTGCCTTATATACAGCGACAGGCGAATCAGGCCTAATGTATAATTCAACTAGAAATATGTTTCGATCTTTCAAAGGTAACATCACACATATTTGCTCAGCTCCAAATTGCTCACCTGTGCTAACAAATTGCGATTTCAATGCACTTTCAACGGCTATTAAAACACCTCCACCTCGTGTTTTGACTTTAGTTTGTTTTGATTCGGTGTCATCCGAACGATCGCAACGATATACAACAAAATTCGGTGGAAAAACCTCTGCAGAATCAACTGTGCCGTCAAGGCGGGTCTCACAAAGCATAAATATCGCTGAATCAGAGGCTAAGACTTCAGCATTGAATTCGGGTAGCCTTGTTTTTAGCCCATTTACATTTTGTGTGTGTGGTTGATTAGTTCGGTGAAAGTGATGGTGCCGTTGGTTTCGTTCAAGATTCGGATTCCTGTTTGATCGACCGTGTAAGTTCTTCCGATTATCATTGTTTACTCGTGACTTCACTCGATCACCTTTTCGTTTCGTGCGATTCAGAACTTTTTTTTTGAAGAGACGAACTCTGTAGTCAGCAGGCCATATCTCAGCGTTCAATAACATATAAAAAACATATCTTTAAGTTATACGTTTATCCTGTAGCGCTTTTATCAATGATAATATATCATTCAATTAGCCAGAAATTAATTCAATATATTTGAATCACTCAGAAATCGTCTCCCCAACCATTTTTGGAGAAAATTTACGAATTCTGAAAACCTCTTTTAGACATCCCTTTGGTACCCCACTGCGTTTTCGAAAAAACAATAGCTCGTCACTGTGATGTCGAAAATACATATACATCTCGTATGCATTACAGGTGGGCCAATTCGCGAGTATATACTCTCATACTCACTCATTTTGAAAATGAGTATGTCTCGACATACTTTCATACTCATAGATACTCTTTGAGTATGAGAGTATATACTCAGAGTATATACTCTTTGATTTTGCGAGCGGCTTCAAAACAGCTTGTAATACGAGTAAAAATTGCACATAATGAGTGTGAGCGAAACAGCATAAGATTTCGGCGCTCGATCGTCTTCCATATAGGCCAATTCAATTGAATATAATATTATTAAATATTTACGCATGGAAATATCTCGAAAACGGCTGGGTAAATCGGCAAAACGGACCGTGATGTCACTTCCAAAGGGAGTGTTAACACCCGGCTGGTTTGATGGCCTAGAATACAAATCCGGCGAAATTTCAGCTGATCCATGGATTCTCAGGATTTGACCAGGTTCCAGTGCTTCCATTTTTATGAGCATCTGTAAAGTCATATTCCCTATGTTTTGTATGGAATTTTACAGGTCAAATCCTGAGAATCCATCGATCAGCTGAAATTCCACCGGATTTGTATTCTAGGTCGTTAAACCAGCCGGGTGTTAATACTCCTTTGGGGAGTGACACCACGGTCCGTTTTGCCGGTTTACCCAGCCGTTTTCGAGATATTTCCATGCGTAAATATTTAATAATATTATATTCAATTGAATTGGCCTATATGGAAGACAATCGAGCGCCGAAATCTTATGCTGTTTCGCTCACACTCATTATGTGTAATTTTTACTCGTATTACAAGCTGTTTTGAAGCCGCTCGCAAAATCAAAGAGTATATACTCTGAGTATATACTCTCATACTCAAAGAGTATCTATGAGTATGAGAGTATGTCGAGACATACTCATTTTCCGTTTGTATGGGAGTAGGAGTATAAATTATACTCTCTTACTCCGCTCACCTGTAGTATGCATAGTATCCATTGCAAAACATTCGAACTCTGCTATGATGCGTGACTCAAACGTATTGTACGGTTCATGATAAAACCTTTCAAATTCATTTATTTATTAATTCGCAATTTTGCTCGCGAGAAATAAATTTTATAACACAAAAACTATATATTTAAAATCTACAGGCTCTACCGATTCAGAATGTGTATGTTGGTTTCGACTTTTCAACATGGTGAAATGGCCTAGTGCATACCATCAGGACCCGTACCTTTCTTGGTGTTCACGGCTTGTAGCTCTTCAAGCACAAAATTTATGTCGAGCTGGGATTCCTCAGTTTGCTGTGACTCATATGTAGGCGATTGTTGAACGCCTTGAGTCGTTGAGTCATCGTAGTTGCTACTGAAGAAGTTCGCAAACAGGTTGGCCTGTTCGGTTTCGTTTGCTGTGCGCACATCACAAAATTGCATGACTTTTGGTTTGTTGTCAGTATTCTTTTTTGAATTGACATATTGCCAAAATCGAGATTGATGCATCGAGATGCATCATGCTTGAGCGAGGATTTTCTGGCAAAACTCTGTTTTTCGAGATATAGCCATTAGAAGTTGGAAATAATATGAAAAATCGACAAAAATCAACTAAAACTCATTTTTGTTGGCGGGAAAAATCATAACCAAAGTGTTTTTGCGTTCAGATGGATAAAATTCTTCCGGAAGCAAGCCCTTCCCAAGTCTTCTTATACCACGCAATCAACTAAAAACACAAAGAAGTACTTTTCATGAAAAAATCAAAATCAAAACAATTCATCACACAGTTCTACCGATGTTTTTTTTTCTTGGTTGGATTTTTTTGAAATATTTGAAATAATTTAAGCGTAATATTCCCCTAGCCTACGCGCTGATTTTGCTTTATTCAAAAAGGCGACAATGCTGGTTTTTAACTACAACATGTGATGTTTCATTTTCTTTGGCTCAATACATACCACTTTGTGTTTGTTTAGTGTTAGTTGGTTTTGTTGAAAAAAAAAACGTAAAGTTAACTAAAACTTATCTCAGAAATGCAATAGGTCAAGACAGGCTCAATCATCTGGCAATCATATCAATAGAAAGCGATGTGGCAAATTCGATTCAATATGACGACGTGATTGAAGAATTTGCCAATTCAAAAGCGAGAAGAAAGACATTTCTTTAGGTCATTTTATTGTATCATTTTTTTGTTCCTTTCCAAATAAACTTGGATTAAATGTATCATTTTTGAGTTTTTTTCACACACTTTTAAAAATTCCAGTTTGAAAGGGCGCCAACGGATTTTGAACCAGGGCGCCAGCGAAGCTAGAAATGGCGCTGATGTTCTGTCTTGAAAATCGGGCCGAACCCCATTTTGAATTATGGGGGTTCAAATGTGTTTTGCCAAACAATGTCAAGGGTCATAATTTGACCAAAAGTGCACATATGGACATTCTGAGAGTTGCAATGGGCGGCACCAATTAAGCACTAAATATTGGAACCAATTTTGGAGTCTTTTAACCCACTTTTGGGGAAGTTGAAATTTTCACCCCCAAATTAATAATTGCCCCGACGCTATGCCTTCTTACGTCAACGCCAACTGGTGCAAGAACAAGTACTACAAGCACAACGTACGTCACATTCAAAGACTTGTATACAAATATATACATGTGTCAATTGCTTATTGAGCGGTTTTCTGTTCTCAAGAAATATTTTGAGTTTATTTTTATTAAAAAGCGCGAAAAAAAAATTTTCAATGCAAGAATTTAATCTTGTTATTTTAAAACGTAAAATTAAACATTTTTTCTCGTGTTTTTGCGTGTTTTTGTCAACACAAGAGTAACTAAAGAATTGCGAACAAATGTCAGTTCATTTGTTGACGTTCCACGTTCCGATTGTTTCAATGACAACATGAAGTGACATTTGTCGCAGTTATTCATGTTGATGAAAACACGTGAAAACACAAAAATTTCATTTAATTTTATATTTTCTAAAATATTAGAATATTGTTTTTTATTGAAACATGTTTTTTTGAGTTTTTCTCTTCAAGTGATTGCTATATTTATACAAACGTGGTATTTCATTGTGTGGTTTGTGTTTGTTTTGGTTTGTTTATTGGTTGATTCATGTCGACACAATGATTCTAATAGTGATATGCTGTGCAATTGAGGCTTGAAATATTTTTTTTTCTCTTTTGGAAAAAATATCAATGGAATAAGAGAGATATCAGTGTAATGCGAGCAGATTTTTATGTTTTTATGTGAAAGAACTACTATTCAAAACAGTCAATAATAACAGTATACCCAACGTGTAAGCGTCTGAATACTATTGGTATACAACGGTTCTATTACATGTTCTTGCACCAGTTGGCGCTTCTGGGCTCATTTATATGAAAACTGTCAAGAAGGCGCAGTGTCGAATTGCCCATAACTTGAAAACATGAAAAGAAAAAATAGGTGATATATATTATTATTATTATTATTATTGTTCTGCACCATACAGCGTTTCTTCGCCAGAGGTGGTTTATTTAGCATAAATAAATGTTGTTATATTTACAATATTTACAATGGGATAATTCATTCTATTTGACTTTACTCTCTCCAAATTCTGTTTCGCTTAAAATAGTTAGCTACTCTCTGTTTTACAGTATTTGTACTTGTGTTAAAATCAATTAAATAAGTATCACAATTCGGAATAGTAGTAATATTACATTCATCTGGTAAATTAGGCGGCTTGATAGGAACAAAGTATTTGTAAAATTCATTGTTTGTACTCAACATATAATTAATAGGTTCAAACTTAGAATAGCAATTTTGATGCGTCGGTAATGGGAGGAAATCTGAGTTTCTTGTCCAATGTCGCGGTGTTTTAAAACTTATTTTGCTCAAAATGTATTTCGATGAAGTATTTCCACATATCACATTATGGACAAGTGATATTTGTGCTATCTTTCTCCGCTCTTTCAGCGTAATAATTCAAGCAGTCGGAATTCGTACGGTAAATAAGTAGGTGTTTGATTGTTCAAAGACTCGCATTATTTTTACAAAACAATGGCAGTTTGCTTTGATCGAAACCCAACAAAATGGCTTTCTGAGAGATTTGTCACACAAAAGTGTAATTTTCGGGAAACATTTTAAAAAATGTCGATTTCGGACGAAATTTATGCTAAAGTAGGTGTTCGGTTGACTCCCATTATTTTTGCAAAAAAACATAAGTTTGCCTGGACCAAAACCCTGCAAAATGCTTTTTTCGGGTACTTCCCATACAAAAGTGTAATTTTTCTAGGTTTTTGAGGTCCTCAGTCGGAGGCGTATGGAACGAAATTGGTAAGTCAGAGTGGGCTCAAAACCAATCCGAAGCTTGGACTTGACATGCCAAAACTTCTGGCTTTTACAGATCTCAATTACAGTACGCCCCCGCAAATTAGAAATGAAATGTCCCGAGACCATTTCCAATTTGCGGAGTTTTCTAATATCTCAGGTTTTTTCAATTTCATCCAAAAACGGTGTATCAAATGATAAACTGATAGGGGGAATGATTTGCTTAATTGAAAACGATATATTGAACACTGTTCAATCAAGTATTGTATGTATATAAGCAGTTATTTTAGTGATTATAAATATATAGTAAGTCTGTTAGTTTATTTTACTGGATAAACTACTCCTGGGAACAAACCGAAATAAATGATGACCGGCTTTTCTTATTATATCATGCGATAGTAAACAGAAAACGTTAGCATTCTATATACAATTTCGTATATGCAAATTCTCTGATGGAACAAATCGGTTTCGATTTGTTAATGATTGATGATTGACGCAGACAATATGGAACAGAATACTTCGTGACTGAATTTTTAACTTCATGGTAAACGTCGAAAATCTCAGCTGATCTGCTAATATAGTTATTCAATGAAATGAAAAAGACTTTCATTACGTTTTTTCATTAAAAATGAAGTAAATTTCCATTTGTCTTGAATGGAATGATTCGGAAACCCCGTGAATTAGAAATGAACCCCGGAAATTAGAAATTTTCCATACAAATTTTCAAACCTGAAATTCATTTCTAATTTCTGAGGTTTTCTAATTTTCGGGTTTCTAATTTGCGGGGGCGTACTGTATCTTTTAAATTTTTCGAGATATTCGGCGAACCAAAAACGCGAACGACGCCATACGCACATCGCAATTTTAAGCATTTTTCATAGTAAACAACTGTTGACTAATTTGACATTGATTTTGACATTTCGTTCGTAGTACACTTGCTTACATCAGTTGGCTACAACGATGAAAAGGCACAGCGTTGTAGAAATTTGACCGAATTTGTCCGATGGAGTTCTTCCATCCGTTCGAACTCCTAACCCAATTTTCGGACGTTCGGTCCGAACAGTCCAAAGCTTTTCCACCTGATGGATTGAAAAAATTGTTTTTCATTTTTATCTAAAAAAAATTATATAAATTTAAGTTCATCCCCTCTTCTCTCGCTCCAGTATGTTTACATCCAACCTGTTGTGATGAAATGTTGTAGTCGAAAGCTAAAAAATGTTTTTACATTTCTACGGCAAAGGTTTATTAGGACATTTAAGGTCGTTCAAAAATATAGTAAATATTGTATATCTTTTATGGTATACATTTTTGCGCGGTGGAAGGGATACGACTTGAAAATAATTGTGAAGTACTTTTTATTCAGGTACTATAATACGATTTAACCGGCACAACAATAATGACATGGATTTGATATTGCACTTCAAGTGAAATTCACGAAGACCGATATTGCAAGAGGATTTTAAAACAATGGATTCTCAAGTAAATATTTCCAAACTTCTTATGGTTCAACGACCACAGAGATAAAAATATGGGAAAAAATAAAATAAACCTTCATTGAAGACAAACGAAAATGATAAGAAAAGTAGGAAAAATGCACAACATAGTCTTTGCCCGTATTCATGTTCATGTCGACGTTCGCTTGCATGCGCATACGCATGCATGTATCAATATAACCGTAGATTTCTCTCCTCACTCTCACCTTGCCTGCTTCAGTATGTAGTCTTTTCAAGCGAAAACATATAAAAAAATGAATATCATGGTCGCTTAGGTGAGAATATTTGGAAAATCAACTATTTCACTAATATCGTTTTTGCTTGAATCGATAAATAAAAACCAAAACCTTATTAATCGAAAAGTATAGAACATAATGTTTCAATTGGGTACATAGAATGACAGTTAATCTCACTTTTTCTTCAATTCAAGTGAACATGCACTAACACATTGCTCCAACATTTTCATGTTTCTGTCAAACACTCTTAGTTTAATTTATACTACGAAATGTAAGACACATAAAACAAAAAGGTGGTTGATTTCGAAAAAACATCAGGGATCCAGCCAAGTATTATAGAAACTTCATTATTAGGAGAAAAAATGAATGTAAAGCCACATTTTTTCTCTCTTACACATCTATCAAGTTTTTTTTCCGGTCAACACGTTCTATTTTCTGTTAATAACGTGAATATCAGTTGACTGATGAAAACATTTATTTGTAATCATATCAATCGTTTCAGCCGAAAGAGAATGTTAGATTTGTTCTAAAAGAAGCATCACAATGAGAGTTCTTGTGCTCTTATATCTTTCGGGATGAAATGAATCCAATTGAAACAATAAACTAGCGCTGAGAACCAACATATCAAAACAACGATTGAATGAAAAATCCAGCTGTTTCAATCATCAGTTAATATCAGTTATAATTAAATATTAAAATGAAATTCGTATTGAAACGACAAGTATAAGTGCGCATAGTGAAGTTCAAATGATGCCGCATTTTCACTGCCAATATCTTACTATATTCAAATATAAAAAAGGCGTATTACTGTATAAATATAAATAACTTACCGGTATATGTGAATGTTGTATTCATTCTTTCAAAAGTACGTGACCCGCGTGTGCGCAAATTCTCAGACATATCTATGTACCATATTCCATCCCAATTCTGCTATTTACCTATATGTTCGTAATTATCTATCGTAAAAAAACATATTCATAGAAAAATTTTCCCATATCATATTATATAAAATAAAAAAATCATGAAAAAGAAAAATAAGTAGAAGATAGTGTAGTCTGTATATGCGTAGTGAATATGGTGAAGTTCATCGTCTTCTATTGAATATAGTGCTACATATCGATATCCATAGTTTGAAAATCAATCATGGCTTTCAATGGAAGTAGCGGAAGTGGAAATGCAACGAACACTGGTGGTAGTAATGGCAATGGCGGAAATCAAGATGGTCCTTTGAACAAACGTCTATGTACTGGTAAAGAAAACAACGAAGCTGGTGTAAACAGTAATAGGGTGAGTATATGATCCATTTTATACATCAAAAAATCACTTTGAAAAAACTTTAAAAATAAAGCTTCTTACCGATGTAAGACGAATTTTTCTTTCAGAATTTGATGAAACTTTGGATCTACATGTTTCAGGCCAAAAGAAACAAATTTTTTTTTTTGTGAGACTCGATTTCGGGCCTGACCAGCCCGAAAATTTTTTTGTTCCTTTTGGTCTGAAACATGTAGAACCAAAGTTTCATCAAATTCTGAAAGAAAAATATGTTTTGCCCGAAAAAGTCCCGTTGCGACCTCTGCTCTTCACAATTTAGTTATGTTGGACCAATTTTTACTTCATAACTATATCTGTTTTAGTTTTAGGTAAAGCTGTCAACGGACAGAAGGTTGTCCGTCCGAAAAAATGAAAATTTGTTCGTCCGAACTCGGACAAACGGACATGGAGTGAATTTTGTCCGAACCTTTCGGACACGCTTTTTTGTCCGGACATTCGGACAGTCCGAATGTCCGGACACGTTTTCGGACGGACGGACAATTTTTTCCGAAACTTGTCCGAAAATTTCAATGAAACTTGTTAGGAACCACTAGAAATGCACTAGAAACATTTTTATAGTTTTAGTACAATTTTGTACACTCTAGTATGGATTAGTACATTTTAGTACTGTGCGCTGCACAGATCTGAGAAGTACTGAAATTTTACTTCAGTAACCAGTGTCTTATTTGAAACAGCTGAGGATTTATATTATTATTATTATTATTATTCTGCACCATACAGCGTTTCTTCGCCAGAGGTGGTTTATTTTATAGTTGAGACTAATAAATAGTGACTAATAAGATACTTACTACTTATTACTAGTAACTTCTAATAAGTAGTAATAAGATGCAATCTTATTACTCTAGTAATATAACTAGTGAGTATAGTTATTAGAATGTTATTGGTCGAACGAGTACTAAGATGCATGGTATCTTATTAGTATAGTTATCAGATGAAATATATTTGAGTAATGAGATGGTGATGTTATTAGTCTGGAACCAAATTTTTCCCATTGATAACAAACTGATAAGGAGTGCGAATTTCGATGTGGCGATAATATCAATGGATTGAGCACACAAAATACTGCATGAGAATCGAAAAAAAAATTAAACTTTTTTTTTTTTCGATTTTTGGCTGTATTGCGACCGTCTACATGGGAAGTTTGTATGAAACTCTCGGAGCGCCGCTGCTTTTGCATTGGCTTCTATGGCCAAATGTACACATTGAAATATCTCGAAAACGGCTGGGTAAATCGGCAAAACGGACCGTGATGTCACTCCCAAAAGGAGTGTAAACACCCAGCTGGTTTGATGGCCTAGAATACAAATCCGGTGGAATTTCAGCGACGCTATGCCTTCTTACGTCAACGCCAACTGGTGCAAGAACAAATACTACAAGCACAACGTACGTCAAATTCAAAAGCTTGTATACAAATATATACATGTGTCAATTGCTTATTGAGCGGTTTT